GGGGCGTACGATTGTGGTGGGATCGAACGCTGCGCATGGGACCGGCCCAATGTTCCGCCGGTGCCCTGGCCCCAAACGTTTCCCATACATTTTTATTAAGGGAGAGACAACCGTGACATATTGAAGTCGCTCCGGGCAGAGACATACCACATCACCTTTGCCATTGTGGACCAAAAAGTCATTTTGGAGGGCGAGCTCCAGTGAGGCTTATATTTTAAATAGTGCAAAATAGTATTTCAGAATTTGAAAAATTCTGAAAAAATCAACATGTTCATACAAATGTATATTACACATGTGCAAATTTTGATGCTGAAATAAGTAACCATATGAGTTACAGAAAAATGACAAAATCATGATTTTGGGAAGATGAACAGTGTATTTATTATCCACTATTTAGAAATCATCATTTTGTTATTTTTGTATAGTTCACATGGTTACTTATCATCAAACTGTACACATATTACACATAGGTAATATACATCCATATGATAATGTAGAAATCTTTTTGGTTTAAAACTTTAAATGTGATTTTAAAACTATTTAATATAAGGTCCTCCAATGCATCCGGGCTCCAAAAATCCTCTCTCTGGATGGACACCCTTGTTACCAAACATTAAAGATTAGATTTTTGTGTTGCAAAGTTCACACGGCGTTTTGGCTCCCAGGAGCATGTAACAGTACCCGGAAAAAAATGTCCTCAAAAAAATCTTTAAAAAGTTGTAGATGATCGTGTTGGTGTTGCAAGCGTGCTTGACAATTTTCATGTGGAACGGAGTAACGGTGTTTCGTCAGTGAAAAAATTTGGTGTGATATTTGATCTTTGATTTTTTTTTTGCGCAGGAAAAAATGCTTAACCTTTTTGCTTCAAAATTTAGAGGTAGCATTTGTATGTGGCAAAGATCACAAAAAGAATTATCTCAATTTTTTGACATTTGAAAAGAAAAATTGTCCCCGGGGGCATGTGCTCCAGGGAGCCAAATTGAATATCCGCATATTTCCTGTATATTGCACTATATGTTATCAATTGTTTGAAGTCGTAGCTTTGAACTAAGTCGAACCTTTTAAAATTTTACCAAATCAAACAAAACATGCTAATATCTACTATATCAGAAATATAGTATGAAAATATCGAAAATAGCCTATAAAACCTGAATCTAGGTGCATCCACATTGATCCTTGTCTTGTTTTCTGATAGTGAATAAACAATTGACAATAGTGAAAAAATTCCTACTTATAATGGTTGAATTGGCGGTGAGTTCAAATATGAGTCCAATAACCCTCACAATAAACAAATACACTTCTCCCCACGATCTTCAAAATAGACATATAAATAAGTGTACTTTACTCACTTGTGGGACATGACAACAAATAAACAAATATACTACTACTTATTCATGAGATCAACACTCTTATAGAAGATATGAAGAACATAATGTAACTCCAACTCAAAATCACATTCTTTGTTTTAGTTTCTCTTTCCAACCAATTCTCCAAGTTCTATGTCATAGTATAAGAGGGCGAACAAATTGTAATGTCAACCCTGCGGTAGACCTTATCCTCCAAAACCTGATCCATGACTTTGTGCAATCATCTTCCATTCTCTTGTTTTAACCCCGCGATAGACTGTATTTTCCATTCTCAGTCGGGGGGAACTGCTCTGTTGCGTGGGAAAGAGTGTGCATGCCAAAGTGGGCAGGCGGCTTGGGCATCCCAAACCTAGCTGGATTGAACGTGGCCTTGCATGCCAGATGGGCATGGTTAAGAGAGTGGACCGGCTGAGACCTTGGCATGAATTCAACATCCCGATTCCTAAAGCATCGATGGCCATCTTCTATGCTGCCACCAAGGCTGATATTGGCAATGGAAGCCGCATCCTCTTTTGGGAGGACCGTTGGCTAGATGGAGCCAGGCTGATTGAGGTTGCGCCTCTAATCTATGAGGCTGTCAGCAAGCGTGTGAGGGCCAGCAAGCTACTTAAGGATGCGCTCCATGCGGACGCGTGGGCCTTGGACATAAAACCTAATTTGGGCTTCGAGGCTCTCATGCAATATCTTGCTCTGTGGCATAGACTTCAGGGCATATCGCTTCAAGAGGACACTGACGATGCCATATCTTGGGCTTGGGAGGCGAATGGGCAGTTTTCTGTCAAATCTGTTTATGTTGCTCTGTTTGCAGCTACGGAAGTGGAGCCGACGGCACAATTCACGTGGAAGTCTAAGGCCCCTCTGGGATGCCGGTTCTTCGTGTGGTTGGCCTTGAAAGATCGATGCTGGACAGCGCATCGACTAGCTCGCCGAGGCCTACCACACAACGATGCTTGCCCGTTCTGTGATCAAGAGGTGGAGACGTTGAATCACATTGAGCTCACATGTGTCTTCGCAAGGACGATATGGAGGACGATATGCATGGTTATTGGCAAGCCGCAATGGACACCTCAAGCGAACGACTCACTAAACGCTTGGTGCGAGACGAAACCGAAGAGTGTACGGGCCATGATGATCCTGGTACTCTGGGAGCTGTGCAAGCATAGGAATGCCATTATTTTGGATGGAGCCTCACCCTTGTTAGACGGAGTAATACGGACAATCGCGGGGGAAGGAAATGCTTGGCATCAAGGGGATTGCTCAAAGAAGATTAGAGTGGCATCGCGGTGGAGCTTCAGAGGTGGGCAACACGTGAGTAGTCTGTACTAGGACTATGTGTATGAGAGTGGAGCTTTGGCTCTAGGCGTTGTAAATAATGTGTTGACTTTTGGGTTTCTTTACCCACCCCTTCTATAAAGTATGATATGCACACTCGTGTATATTCGAGAAAAAAAATCTCTTGTTTTAAAGTCAAAATGTTGTTTCCCTTTAAATCTTGCAAAGGACGTCATTTAAAATTCTTCAACGCCTAGTGTATCCCGCTTAGCCTGAATTGTGCAACAGGGGCATGGGCATGGTACTAATGTCTTTTGATCATCTTCTAAGCCGGTGGTCCAACTCGTCTTTTCCATGACTCCGTAGCAACTCGGGCATGGTGCTAGTATAAAAGAATAAGAGCGCAAGAACTAGTTTGGCAATCAAAGGGTTAAAGAAGATTATTGTGTTGGTCAAATATCAAAGTGAAGCCAGCGCCGGCATGCGACTACGCCGGTGCTGCCAACAACGGCACAACTATGGTGAAGGATGGGTCGGCCTCGAGTGAGGTGGCCATGGAACAATGCATGGGGCGTCTATGATCGCAGTACCAGAGGCGCCCACGGATGGGGCAGATCTGGACGATGCCGCTTCGTTGTCATGCGCCGATATGTCGGTGCCGGTGTCTCGGTGTGCGAGAGAGGTGAAGAGGTGAAGATGGTGGTGCCAACGTTCGCAGCACGCACAACATCGTCGGCAACGGATGCATGAGTAGTCATGGTGGCGGGGGTGGCGGCCCTCGATAACTGCGATAAGGAGATCAGGTGGCACAACAGTGCATATTCAAGTGTGTTGGCATATTTGCAGGCATAGCGGCGGTGATCGTGTGCGGCACTCGATGCCGGCTCAAAGAGGATTTTCATCCGGTGCGAGGGCGGAGACCATCGCACAAGGATGCTCAAGGCGCGAGCGACAGAGTCCCACGCTGGTGAGCAAGGGGCGCAGTGGTGGTTCCCCGTCGACTTCTAGCTCCGGAGCAGCGGCTCGGGCGGTATGGAGCATGCTGCAGTGTGACTGGTGCCGGTGTGGAGTAGCAGCGGCCAGTCTCGCACGGAGACATGGGCGTCCACCTGACGGCCGTGACGGTGGTTTAAGGTGGGAAGGCATCCCACCAATCTGCTAGTGTCGTTTGGCACCGGCGTGGAGTACTGACGAAGGCGACTATCGAATGATCTGTCATCAAGATGCTGATTGGAACACCCCTTCATTTCCGCGGTGAAAACTCTTGTCGTGACCATTATTGGTCGGGCTCAGCAGCGACGACTTAGTCGTAGGCGTTAATTTCATATCTTACAATGATTCAGCCATGATTGCCTTCGTTTTGTACTCTGCTGAATAATTAATAAAAATGGTTGTATGAATCGCTGGGGTTTTAACCTTCTTTTCAAAAAAAAAGAAAAAAAAGAAGAAAAAAAATCAAAGTGAACGTCCAAGAACTTACACAGAAATTGATACCAAAAGAGGCAGAAATCATATTAAAGGATTCATGGTATTACAACAGGAGAGAAGATCTGAGAAACTGATGTGCTGATAAATTAAGAGTGTCCAACAGCCAGGCTTTGGCTAACAAAACAATCAGTATCCAAGAAGCACACAAGAATTGTCAGAAAGTAATGAAGTGAGATTGCATGATGGGGATGGTGAACAAACAAATACCCAAACTTGGATCCATGCTTGTGATGCCAAGGCCAAGTCAACAAGCTAATGACCTCATGGAGGGAAAAGTGAAAAGGATGTTGTTAAAAGGAGAGGATACATCCAGACAGAGACAAGAATTGGTGAACTCCATTAAATATAGCCATGACTATGCAGGTACATAAAGTGATGTTGAATAAACCAGATGCTGAGAATCAACAGAACTTCTACCAAGAAAAGAAAAAAGGAATCAACAACTATCAAACATGAACAAAGAGTGAATGGCTTCAATATGCCATTGACAAAGCATATATTTGATTCACTAGAAAATGCACATGCCAATTCTCATAGTAATGGGAAAATACACAATCTGAATCAAGGCACCAAATATTTGATTTGTTTAATCAAGGACAATGGCATCTGATATCAACAAGGATCAGGAAACACAAGATGAAAAAGGTAAATATAATTGGCCGGAATGGTAAAGTTGAGCATGAAGTGGGCAGAAACTACTACTATTAAGTTGAACATTAGTAACTACCACTGTGGAGAGATGTAGTAGCAATTAGTGATCAGAATGCTTTCCTTTTTCCTGGTCTTAGAATTGATCGAACTGAGCAGCTTAAGAGGCAAAAGAAGAAGACAGTTGCACTAAGTAAAATCTAGTGATGCTTTAGCTCTATAAATCTAACGGCCTAAAGCCTGAACTGGGCGCCAAGCAGATGCAGTGAGCAAGCAAAGGTCCTTCCATCCAAGCTTCAGAGTGCCATTCTCCTCGACGAGAGTGTAGCCATCCGAGGGGAACATGCCGAGCAGCAGGGAAGCCTGCGCCGCGGCGCTGCCCGCCAGCGACGCCGCACGGAACCCCGACTGCGCGAGCTTCTCCCGCCAGTTTCCGAACTTGATGTCCCCGGTGCGTGCCGGGCCACCCACGGCCAGCACATTGCGGATCTCCCTCGCCAACAGCTGCTGCTCCACGACGTGCCGCTCCGAGCTGTCCTCGCTATAGCTCGCGTCCAGCGAGTCGAAGAGCGCCGAGTAGTAGTGGATGGCCTCCACGAAGCGGGCCAGAAAGGAGCCAGAGTGGCTCAGGTCCTGCTCCACCATTGTCACCACCTTCGGCGCCAACCTGCAATCCGTGGTCCACATGTTAAGATCAGCACATCAATTTAAGGTGCTGCTGCTGAACTAGGAACACAACCACTAATACAGAGTGGGATGGCGATGATGCATCTAAGTCAAAGGACATTTTGGTTGATTTCTTAGTTCCCCAGCAATGCTTAGCCTTGGGACGAGCAGATCAGCCTTCGAGCTTAGCCTTGTCAATTGATTAGTAGTGCCACTAGGTTAGATGACAGTAGTTTCAGTTTAATAATCAACATTTGTGGCACTTGGAACAAGAAAGTTGCAAAGCTTTCTAGGATGAAAAGTTGGTCATGATGATAAAAACTTTTAGCTCGCTCCAGTATCTTTCTTCTCGGATCAAATGGAACACAGATTGAGCACTTGCAGTAGAGTAGGAGTATAGTTTATGTTTTCTTCTCGGATCACCAAAGATCATGGAAGAGCATAAAAAGTTGGTCATAATGACGAACTTTTAGAGCTTCTAAACGACATCTTTTCCTGCTTGTTAGTCGTTAAATCAATCAATGGCGTACTTGGACTAGTACCATACTAACATTGTTGATTGATGCCTGATGCCAAGATGACTTGACATCTCTCAAGTGAAAAGCTTGAAGATTCATTTCACAATGGAAGCAACATAGCAGCATATTACTCGTAGTACAGTACCTTTGGATGAGGTTGAGTGTGTTGGAGTCGTTGCCGGTGACGTCGTAGAGCGAGTGGTGGAGCCAGTGGACGGCAACAGCCTCGCGCCGCCGCGTGTCGACGCCGAGCTTCTCCGGATCAAGGTTCCCAGCTTTGCCCGCCACCGGGTAGAACTCGAATGGCAGGCCCAGCGTATGGGCAAAGTCCGACAGCCGCTTTCCGGTGGCCTCGAGCGCCTCCATGGACGCGCCGAGTCCGGTGAGCCTCACCCTGGGCGGGCCGCCCGGGCGGGAGGCGAGGATGTGGAACAGTCCCGGCCACTGGAGCCCCTGCATGATGTCGAGGTCCACGATGTGGACGCGGTCCTCCCGCTCGAACGCCTCCTGGATGGCCTGGTTCGCCGTGAAGTGGGAGAACTTGACGAAGGGGCTGATGCCGTTGAACACCTGGAACGCCGCGGCGACGCGCGAGTTGACGAGGCGGGACGCGGCGGGGGACGACGCGTTGGGGAGCGGCGCGTAGAGGCCGAGGCAGGAGCTGATGAGGCGGGCCGACATGGCCTCCGCGAAGTAGGCGGCGACGCGCTGCGTGGAGGTGCCGAACGGGGTGGCCAGCTCCGCGATCTCCAGCAGGGCGCGCTGGGCCTCGTCGAGGTCGTCGGAGTTGACGGACTCGGCGCATTGCAGAAGGAGCGTCAGCAGATGGAGACCCTCCTCGTCGCGCTGCCTCCTCCGCTGCTCCTCTTTCCGCTCCTTCAAGGCGGCGGAAGCTGCCGCTGCAGCTGCTGCGGCGGCCGCGGCGGTTTCCTCCGCGGAAGGGGGCGGCTTCGGCGACTGCGGCGGCTGGTTCGGCTGCTCCTCCTCGCGGCGCCGCTTGTCGGGAGGCGGCGGCGGAGGGAGCGCCGGCACCGGCGGGGCGGAGAGCATCGTGTTGCCACCGGCACCGGGTAGGAGCGAGGGCGGATGATGGAGAGGAGGAGGAGGTGGCGGTTGGTGCTGGACAAGGTCGGATGCGAGGAGCGAGCGGAGGCGGAGCTCTAGGAGTGAAGCGAGTCCGGGGTTACAGGGGTGGATGATCTCCCGGACGTTGTGGATGAGCTGCGCGACGGAGACCGCGGCGCCGCTGCTCCCGATGATGTCCCGGATGATGCCGTCCACCCACGCCGTACTGTTATTGTTGACGTTAACCTCCGTCGCGACCTGCGGTGCGACGACGACGTCCATCGCCAGCACTGGCGCCTGCAGGTGGCTGCCGAACGCCGGCAGCTGCATGGGCAGCGCGGGCAGTTGCGCGCTCCCTGCCACCGCCGGCGGGAGCTGCTGCGGGGGCGCTGCTCCGCCCGTAGCGGCGGTGACGTCGGAGAGGTCCCCGGTGACATGGCGCCGGGGCGGGGGCAGGTCGACGTCCGGAGCCGGGCGCTTGCGTACCATGGCGGCGGCGCCCTCTTGGTGGTCTAGCTGGTCGAGGTAGAGGAAGAGGTCGGAGGGAGACGGGGAGGGGAGCGGTGGAAGCAAGGCGGAGTGGGAAGCTGATGCAGCAGCATGAGCATGGGAATAAGAGGAGTGGTTGGGGGCGGAGGAGGAGGACGAGGGGAAGAGGAGGAGGGAGGAGGAGCCCATCTAGAAACGCCAAGGGGAAGCCGCCGCCGCCTTCGCCGAGGCTCGCATGGCGAGCGCAGCGCGGGAGAGGGGAGGGGGTGGTGGAGTAGCTACGGTGGCGGAGGAGTAAAGGGGAAGACGCCGACGGGAGAGGAACAAGGGCGTAAGCACAAGGGTGCTGTGTTAGCAAGGACGGTAATTTATGGAGAGAGCCGTAGCAGACGTAGCTATTGGGCTCTGTGTCATCTTTTTTCTTTCTAAAAATCCATCCATGTGTGTCTCATATTTATTTCCCGGTCTGATGTACTCCTCTGATCCTAGTAGTGATGTCCATCGACAGTGAACCCGGGAGGGTTCCTGGCACAAAAGAACGCCCATCTCTTCTCTTCTAAATTGTAAGAACGAGAACCCCAGGGAAAATGTACAAGTGTGGAACAATCGCCGTAAAATACTATCGTTCCTAAATATTTGTCTTTTTAGAGATTTCAAATGAACTACCACATACGGATGTATATAGACATATTTTAGCTTGTAGATTCACTCATTTTGCTCCGTATGTAGTCACTTGTTGAAATCTCCAGAAAGACAAATATTTAGGAACGGGGGAGTAGGTTACAAGATAACCTCTATTAAACATTGACATAGTTCACAATATGTATCTTTGACATTTTTTTTGTAGATTATAAAGTAGCAGGAGTAGTAGAAAATCTAATGAATTATTTTCAGTCATACTAATCTAAATATTTTGCAGATATTAGTAGTCAAAGCTAAAAGATGTTACGTAGGCACTTTGTATAATTATTTTGGCTGATTCGGTTTATAAAAAATTTAGATGAAAAACAGGGAAAGAGATAAAGGGCTGGGATGTCTTCTCCGCTCTAATCCTTAGAAATTTTCTATGAGGTTTCACATAATGCTAAGAATCCTTATGAATTAGGTCAATATGGACACTGTCCTAAGAAATCTAGTACCTCCATTTCTATAAATGGATGTCGTACATAGGAGAAAAATCTCAACATTCGATATTCTACGGGAATCTTCAAAAATCTTGCAAACTGAATGAGCCCAGGAGTCTTCTTATGCAGATGGTGTATTACAAGGTCATCTTATGCAAAATGAGTTTAAAGAAACTTAAGGTGCTTAATTCTTTTGCAGGATTCTCAAAACACATGGATATGAAGACATACTATTGAGGCGGCATGCCCTTTGAACCCTATATGATTAGAAAACTACAGGAATTTGGAACAGTGTGTTTGATATCACACAAGAGATCTGATTGGATGTAAATATTCCTTCGCAATTAAGTGCAGACGAATTGTTAGTAAAAATTTCAATGGATTCTAATCCCATGAAAACTTCCCAAGGATTCAAATCCCAAAATTCCCATCGAATTCCTTTGAATCAAAGAGGGCCTAAACGAATGTTAGAAATCGATTCAAACTAGGACACTGGAAAATGGCCCATAAGAATTTGGCATCACAAGGTATCTACCAAATGGTTATTATAGATACATAAATATTTAAATCCTACTGAAAATTTGTAATACTAAACAGATGAAAGTGTGAAAATTGGAAAGAGGAAACATTGTTCATGCACATCATGTCAATATGCATCAACCAACCTGACGTTGCACTCAATCATGCACTTATGACTTATGTTGTTTTCAAAATTTATAAGATTTTAATTCATTGGTACCTCTTTCACGAAGATCTTTGGTTCAAATGAATTAGAATACTTATATTAATACCAAACTTTTAAATCTAGACCGATATATTTGTTTCAGTGAATCTATTGACATGAATATAACATATCATTTTGTAAATATCATTTTCACACATATCATCCAATATGGACCGAAGTATCGACCAATGGTCGATATCTGACCCATATGTCCACCTGTAGTGAAAATAAGATTATGTATTTACAACTTCATCACATTATCAAAGTTATGCATAATGTTTTGTAGAGAAACATATATAACATATTGCTTTTATCTTAGAGGAACAACTTAATGAAGTAGGAATCTAAATTTGTTATGCTAAAGCATTGTCAATTTGTTTTACTAGAAAAACATGTTTTGAACAAGATATGTCGAAGGCAAACAGATATGAAACTACCATCCGATATTTCAAACCATGATTCATACGGATTGCTAACATTCACCACAATTTCACTGTACTTAGCGAAAGGTACTCCCTCCGTACCATAATATAAGAGCAGTTTTTACACTAGTGTAGTGTCAAAAATGCTCTTATATTATGGAACAGAGGAAGTAGATCTCATGATTTATCTGTTTTAATCTGAATCCTATGCTTTGAATTTTAAGAATGGACATATATATTCTCACTGGAAACATTTTTCTCTACATTTTATGAATGGACGTTCGTAATTTCGTTGTTTGCCATTAGAATCCACATGGCGGAAAATGGAATCGTTATGTTTTTGTGTTTTGTTTTTATACCCTGGTATGAACTGAGTGAGTTTTCTGTGGGATTCGAAGAGTCGGGATATGACACGATTTTTATGTACTGTTATTGTTGGAATTCTAGGAGGCAAGGAGCTTTCGTCGACAAGAGATCCCAAGCACAATGTCGTTGCCAAGTGGAACCTGGCTTCAGAAGCCGCTCGGCCACATGTATTACTCGTCCTGCCCGCCTCAAGTGAAGAGCATTCTGCCTGCCCCAGCTGGATAATGGAGTGGTTATACTCAGTCTGAACGATGACTCCAGTCCCGCATCTTACGCCAAGTGAACTGATTGGCGATTTCGTTCCTTATCTAGTGCTTTGCATCCTCCTTTGTTGGACTGGTTGACCCGCACTGTCCATATATAGTGGATCACTAACCGTGGGCTCTTCTCCGGTGAGAGTTTTCAACCCAGACGGGACGACGGCGACCACTTGGGTCGCCGTCTCTGCCGTGTCTGCCTTTCTCCTTTCTTCCTTTTCCACCCGTCGCCGTTTCGCTGTCCGGCGCAGCGCCCAAGGCACGCATACTGTTGGATCGCAGACACGGCAGGCAGACGTGCGGCGTGCCGTCGCTCTGCAACCAGCGAGTTCTTTCTGGTAAAAGGCCCCTGGTTTTGTTCGTATTCAGCACACTATATTTTGCGCCGCTGATTGTACAAGCTCTGGAAAACAGTACAGTATCAAAACAAGTATATACTACCTTCAAAACAAAATTTGTCATATTGATAGTCCTTTGGTTACGTATATAAGAGTACTTTATATTCCCTCTGTCCGAAAATACTTGTCTTAGAAATGAATAAAATGGTTGTATCTATAACAACCATTTCTAGGACGGAGGGAGTATGCATTTGAAAGCTGCGAAGACTCTGGGAAAACATAGAGACGTCACAATGCGGCCTTCATAAATACCCTATGTGTGTCACAATATAGCTTGCGAAAACCGGAAATCCATTTTGGCCCTAGGGAGCACATGCTCCTGCGTGCCAAAAATGAATTTTACAAATGTCAATAGAAATTGGAAAAGCTATGTGTTCATTGTCACACCCAAATGATACATGCAAAATTCCAGGAGAAAAACTTAAGCATTTGACATGTGCAAAAAACAAAGTCGAAAGCCAAATGTTACACTTAATTTTGTCATTTCACCGATGAAGCACTGCTATTCCATATAGCATGAAAATTATCAAGACCACTTTACTACACTAATATGAACATATAAAAAAAAGGTTCCAGATTTTTTATTTTTTTTCTGTTATTTTGATTTTACTATTTATTATTTTGATTTTACTATTTATTATGGAGCATATGCTCCCTAGAGCCAAAAGTCCACGTCCTGCGAAAACGTCTAATATTGAGGGATGGAGGTAGTATCATTTATGGTTTCTTCTTTTATGCTAATACAACCGTTAAAATCAAATACCTCAATAATTCACCAAATATTAACACAAACCACTAAACTGAATACAATAAAGAATCCAAATTAACAAATAATCTAATCAAATAATTCAACTAAAACAATTAATTGTAAAGAGATTTATACACGTTGTTCTCCCCCTAAGTGCCACTGTGCTCAATAAGATCCTCCTTCAACTAATGAAGGAAAGCCCGAACTTCAATCCTTCAGTAGGCCTAAAAATGCTTAAATGTGCTTTGTGTGTCTATCAGCTCTGATGATTGTGCGAATATCTTCATAATCAATGGAGTCTGGCATATCTTTCTCATCATCTAAGATCATGTTTTCTAGGAACAAATGACATGGCATGATATTTGCCAACACATCCTTCTACGAGAAACGAGCAGACCCCAGACAATGGCAAAGCTTGCATGCAACACTCTAAATGCCCTATCAATGTCCTTCCTATGATCTTCTTATAACTTATATCTTTTGAGAACGACGAGGAATATTTTATGGAAATCATTTGCACTCTTTTGCTTCACTTATATATTTTTGAGAGTTAAATTGGTAGTGGTAATTTGCGTGAGTTATATGTTTGGTCCTAAAATGATAGATATATGAGGGTGGTATACTAAAACTTGCATGTAGATCACTGAATAAGTTGTGATTGACAAATAGTATTGAGGTCACAATATGAAGGTTAACTAGTCAATAATCTTGGTCTAGTAAAAATATTGATGTTAAGGTTTGTGATTTCCAACTTATTAAAGTGTCAGTCGTGGCATGGCTAGGTAGTTGGAGCGTAATTTATCCTTGAGTGATATCCCTTGTGTTGTCCGGATTGGGGGCACGCGATGATTAACTCCTCTCAATCTCCCCCCGAGGAGGCATGCGAGTAATACTTTCCTTCAAGGGCTAATACACTTTCACAATAAATACTTGAGTTATTTATGACTAATGTGAGTTTGTGGACTATAAGCACTTCTGCCTACCCACAATTTGCTAGCCTCTTCGGTACGGTGTGTTGCCCGTTCTCACCTCGACACTTGCTGCAAACTTAGCCAGTGCATCCAAATCCCATGATATGATACGCTCTATCACACATAAGCCTTATATACTCTTCCTTAAAAGAGCCTCCATACCAATCTATTATGGCATT